TGCGCGGCGCTGAGAGGCGAGGCGGGGGCGCGGATCCCCGCGGGGTCGACGCGGACGCCTGGCGCGCGTTCCTCGGGCGGGACTCGGAGCGAGTTCCTATTTGACCCTCACTGGAGCCCGGGATCTGGACCGGAACAGGCCCGGTTGAGCCGGGGGCGTCCGGCGAGGAAACCGGGTATCAAAAGGCCCGCGTGGAGGGGTCGGGGTGGCCTGCGGCCCCGGGGAGTGTCGGGTCGACAGCGGCGGCGTATCTCTAACTCAGGTATTCGTCTGGCAGGGTCATGGACTTGGGCTGGAAGAAAATTACACCTTCATCGTCTCTGCGGGAAGCAGCGTTTCCTTCCCTGACGGTCGTGTGGTGTCAGCAGTGACCAAAACCGAGTCGTGGTGTCAGGTGGGGACGAGTGGAAATGACAGTGTCTGCAGCTACCACCTGCAAGCTATTTCCATCACCGCTCTTTGACATCACAGGGTCTTGTTATTTAGTATGTTGAAAAGAAGCATATATACTACTACAGATAAGTTTGTTTGTAAAACATGTCATACCTATTTCAATATATTTTTTGTAAACCCATATATTTCATTTAATGCAGGTAAACACTTTATTTAATGTGGCTGTTTGAAAATTTAGAATTACATATGTGTTCACATTTTTAAAAATATATTTTATTGATTTTTTACAGAGAGGAAGGGAGAGAGAGAGAGAGTTAGAAACATCGATGAGAAACATCGATCAGCTGCCTCCTGCACACTCCCTACTGGAGATATGCCCGCAACCAAGGTACATGCCCTTGACCGGAATCGAACCTGGGACCCTCTCAGGGGTCCTCAAACTTTTTAAACAGGGGGCCAGTTCACTGTCCCTCAGACCGTTGGAGGGCCGGACTATAGTTTAAAAAAAAAACTATGAACAAATTCCTATGCACACTGCACATATCTTATTTTGAAGTAAAAAAACAAATGTTTTCGGCAGGGCCCGCGGGCCGTAGTTTGAGGACCCCTATCCACTCAGCCAAACGGGTTAGGGCTTCACAGTTGTTTTTATTGAGTTTCAGGCCTCAGCAGACACGGAATGATAAAGGTCCTCTGCACTGGTGTCACTAGGGTGCTGGTCAAGAGAGGTTGTCCGATTTGACCCTCACAGGAGCCGGGGACCCCAGGGGGACAGGCCAGAGGGGCAGTGAGTGCGGCCGCCAAGGTTGAGCTGGGGGCTCAAAGCCAGCCCAGTTGGGAAGCTGACCAGGCCCGCCCACAGCTCTGCTGCAGGGCCCCCAGCAAGTCCCTCCCCGCCCTGGGCCTCAGTTATGAATCTGTTCAATCTGCCACCACCTCTGACGTCTTTCCAATGATCATCTGATATAACTAGACCTGAACATTTTTTCATGCTGGTTATTTTGATACTCTTTATGAAAGAGTTTCAAGTATGAAGAGCAGAACCTCTAGCCTAGCACTGTCCAATAACAATATAGTGTGAGCGCATATGTAATTTTAAATGTCCAAGTAGCCACATTAAAGAAAACAAAAAGAAACTGTGAAATTACTGTTAACATTTCTTTAGCCCAGTGCATCGAAAAGATTAACATTTCATCTTGTAAAATAATTGTGTGTTTTACATTTTTTTGGTACAAAGTCTTTGAAATCTGGTGTGTATTTTATACCTCTAGCTCATCTTCATTCAGATTAGCCATGTTTCATGTGTTCAGTAGCCACATGTGGCCAGTGGCTACCATATTGGACAGCACTTTTGTCCACAACTAGCCCATCTGTCCACAACTTTTTGCAGAAAAGAAGTGCTTGAATTATCTTTCCTGGGCATAGGCCCAAAATACCAACATTCCCCCCCACCCCCCAAGAATAAATGATAGCTGTAATTTTTGAACATTTATTAAATGCTAGACATTGTGCTAAAAACACCTCATTTAATCTTTATAACCTTGTGGTAAGGTGAGTGGGATTATCCCCATCTTGCAGCTGAAGAAGTTGAGGCACAGAAAGGTCAAGTAATGGTTACAGTCACACAACTCTGTTCAGGTCTCAAACTCAGCTCTCATTTCCGCACCTGTGCTCTTAGATCATCTCCATATAAAAGGCTGATATGCTAAGTGTCCCACCATCTGGGTAATGACATCACGTAGCAGCGCCCGGCTTCCTCTCCCTAGCGACTAGCCTCCTTGCAGTTTCTTCAGCCCAGGAACACGGCTTGCTTTATAGCCAGGTGCAAACATTTCACACTTTAACCAAATGTCTGTGAAGCATTTTCCCATGCTTCATCTCTTTTGATCCTCACAGAAGTCCTAGAGGAGGTAGATAGGAGACTCGGTGGGATCCTATTTTCTTTTCATTAGCCAGAAAACAGAGTTTTAGAAAGCTTAGAAACTTGATCTGACTGAAAAGAAGAAATGGTGGACCTTGAAAATGACTTCAGGTTTTCTCACTGTGCAGAATATAGTCAAACACTGCTGCAGTTAAATATTTTACACTTTGTTCTCCCTGCGTGATCTACAATAGTAATCTGCTTTGTGTTGATATTTACTGCTGTGTTGCTGACAATTACCTGAAAGAAGTTGGGGTGCTTCACTGGGCTGGAAAAAGTTTAGCTACATCAGAAAGCAGGTCTAATTAAGTAAGTTTATATACTAGCGGCCCGATGCATGAAATTCATGCAAGGGTCTTGGCCCCCTGCTGCTGCTGCAGATGCCTTGGCTCCCTACGCTGCTGCGGCCACCTCTGCCTCAGCCCCCGCCTTTGGGCTTCGTCCAGTAGGTCGTCTTGTCTAATTAGCATATTACACTTTTATTATAGATATAAAGCTCTTGCTGGCGCCAGTCACATGCGTGTGTTTCCATCTGTCATTGTCGATCGTGACACTTCTATTATGGAGAAAGGGCAAATAGCGATATTATAATATTTATTCAAACTAATTTCCTTTCAATGTGCATGAATTTGTGCACCGGGCCACTGGTAGCCTGATAATATCACTAGCTTATATCTGTTCAGTGCCTACTGTGCCAAAACTGTGTTGCATGCTATGTAACTGAGACCTCATTCAAGATGCTGTGGGTGACGATATCGTTAACCCCAGTTTACAGGTGAGGAGACTGATGCCAGAGCAGGACTCATGGATGGTTGTTTGGCAGAACCTAGGCTTTCTAACCTCAGGGTTCATGCTTGTGACCACTTCTCTGTCTTCTTTCTGCCTTTTTGGGTTATGAACCTGAGTTGACTTCATTGTTTTTCTGACCTATGCCAGGCCCTGGAGGTAAAAGCCAGAGATGGACCTGGTGAGACTTGCCCGGCTCTTCTCCAGCCCCCGCCCCCTGGGACTGTCCATCTTGCAACACCTTGACCCTCTCAGAGCCAGGTGGGCAGGAGGTAGGGAAGGGCCTGCGTGGCTGAGGTCCATGGGGCTGACTGGGCCAATACCAGCAGCCTTCAGCAGCTCCCTCTCTCAGCTGCCCCTCAGCCAGGGGAGCCAGAAGAACATTCGCAGCCTCAGCTCTGACCCACGCCAGCCCAGCCCCATGGCCACCCAGGAGGAAGAGGAGGAAGAGAGTTTTGGGACTCTCTCCGATAAATACTCCTCCCGGAGAATGTTCCGCAAATCGACGGCCCAGCTGTATAACCTACGGCTCAGGGAGCAAGATGAAGAAGATGATGAACGGGAGCTGGAGCCCAAATCATGGCGGGGCCGAAGAAACACCCCTTACTGGTACTTCTTTCAGTGCAAGCGCCTGATCAAGGAAGGAAAGGTGAGGGACCTTTGGGTTCTGCCGCTCCTGGCTCTTACATCCCTGGTAGCTCAGTTTTGTGTGTGAGGGCCTGCCTTACCTTTTCAGTCCTAAAGGTGTGGGTGCTCAGGGCTCTTTTCTCCTGTTTTCGCTCACCCTGGATGCTGTACCAGGTGACCCCTCCTCACTGCAGCCTGTCCTTCCCGTGGGCTCCTGATCTGTGTATCCAGCTACCTCCTCAGCTTCTCCCTTACACTTACTCACACTGCCCTGAAATTTTCATTCCCAACCTTGTTTTCACTACACTTTCTTCATCTCACTAAATACATCTGCCCAGGCAAAATGACTTCAGGTCATTTCTAACTCTTCCTTTTCTCTCACCAGCTGTAATTTCAAAATGTTGCCAATCCTAACACTTCTCACAACATCGCCACTGAACGCCCAGGCCTAGTCTTCTCTTTGCCCCCTTACACCTGTCACAGGTCTCCCCGCCACGCTTCCCATCTCCTGCCTGGATGCCACTCTAACAGAGAGTCATCCTGTTAAAGTAGAAAGCAGTTATTGTTACTCCTCCCTCCAGAACTCCTAATATATTCAGTGACATTGAAGATGTTCACTTTCTTAGGTATCGGCAATGACATTCTGTTTATGTGTGAAGTTCTCTTAGAAGTATGTATCGAAGATTTTATGAATGGAATGATAGGATGTCTAGAATTTGCTTTTAAAAATTCTGTTTATAGGGGGAGTGCAGAGTATAGATGAAACAAGATTGGCCAAACCTTCATCATTGTAGTTAACGCTGTTCTCCATTTTGTGTATTTTTGAAAGTTTTTGAAATGAAAAGTTGAGAAATAAAGAGAAGCAGAGTCCTTACAACGGCTTATGAAGCCTGAAAGATCTGCCACCATCACCCCTTCATCCCTCCCCTTACCTTGCCACCC